TGCAGGACGCTGGGCTCACCTGGGCTGCGGGAGGAGGGAGCTGCTGGAAACCCAGCACTGGACTCAAGGGAGGGAGGGGCAGGGAATCAGTGCTGGCCTCAGCATGTCTGTGCGGTTTGGGGGAAGGTGCAGGGAAACGGGGCTCAGCTGTGCTGTGGGGGAGGCATGTAGAGAACCAGTACGGGGCTCAACTGGGCTGAGGTGGATGGAGGAAGGCATAGGGAACAGAAGGGCAGCTCAGCTGAGCTGCAGAGAAGTGGTGCTGCACTCCCTTGGATTGTGGGGATGGTTTTGGGGGATGTGCAGGGAACCAACAGGGGTGGGCAGCTCAGTTAGGTTGCAGGGGAGGGAGGCACAAAGAAGCCTAGTGGGGTAGGGGGGAACCAGGAGCCCTGAAATGATCTGCCCTGGTCCCTAAAATCCCTCATCTGGGATGAATCCGGTCCAGAGGGTGCCAGACCAGGGATGTCCAACTCCTACCCAAGTGCCCTCCTTGCATGCTCCCTCCTAGCTAGATACTCTGCCCCCAATTTGGTCCTGCTCCCGCCTCCCGGAGTGCCCATGCAGCATCAAGTCCTCTAGGCCTGGGCTGGGCGAAAGATGCAGCCGAATGTTCCAGGCTCCCGGAGTGCTCATGCGGCGCCGGGTACCCCAAGCCCTGGCCCAGGCTGGGTGGAGGATGTAGCCGGGTGAAATAGTGAAATTTATTCATTTTTCATTCTTTTTTTTAAATATGCATTTATATTTTTGGGCTGCAAAAACGAGTACTGAAAAAAGGGTTCCAACTAAAATAAAAAGTTTGGGAAATTGCTTAATGAATATGCATATGAATGTTACCAGTCCTCCAAAAGCTCGTGAATGGATTTACTGGTCCCCATGTCAAAAAGTTTGGGAACGCCTGGTATAAGGGGAAATGATTATCCTGAGGATTTTGATTCTTGTAGCATGGAAATTTGTCATTGTGTTTAATGCAGTCATATAAGTTGCTGTTTGTCAGCAGCAATACTTGAATTATCATGTTAATAGTATTATAAGTAATTAGAATCTGGGCAAAGTGTTTATTATAACATTCATTACATTTTATTGTAAAGGAACCTGATTTGGTGGCTCTGGCAAAGCAAGCAGAGGAAAGGAAACAAAGAGCAGAGAAGAGACATAAAGAAGCCCTGAAACAACAGAAAACTCAAAAAGAAAAATTGTTGAAAGAGCAAACATGGTATTTAGTTGTAATTTTTCTTAAAAGTACAGACTATAGTGCATAAAGAGTGAAATGCTGGAACACTGAGACTTCTTGTTTGGATTTGTTTGTAGTTTAGGAATTCCATGTAGTGCTAGCTGATGTTATGGAGTTTGGTAAGAATTGTAGCTTGAGAAACAGAGGAATAAAATGGTCAAAAGCACTAAATGGCTCAAGAGACTATCTGTGGGATGAAGGGCCTTGTACTCTTCTCACTGATTTCCACCTACTTGAGTAGCTGACAGCAATTCAGGGACATATATTAAATTAATTGATCTTGGTTCAGTTCATGAGGGACACATACCTATTTCATAAAATCCACCACTATGTATGTCACTAGCTGTCATGCTTTGTGTTCTCAAAGGATGAGTTCAAACTTGGTTGGATATGAAAAAATAAATAATATGCTTTAGAACAGATATGGGCAATAATTTTTGGTGGGAGGCCACTCTAAGGTTTTGGAAAGTGGTCAAGGGCTGCACTTTTCTGTGGAGGAGATGTGGGGTCTAGGATGGAGGCTGGGTACAGAAGGATGCATGGGGTAAGGGACTAGGGTGCAGGAGACAGTGTGAGGTTTGAGAGGGAGTTTGGGTGAAAGAAGGAGTTATGACCCTGGTCAGGTGGTTGGAGTACAGGGTCTGGGAGTGTTTTTCGGTGCAGGAGAGGATTCTGGCCTGGAGGAGGGGTATAGGAGGGGATACAGAGCCTGGGAGGGAGTTGTGACCTAGGGCAGGGGAGTGCAGAAGGTTTGGATGGTGACTAAGGGGAAGGAATTGGGGTCTGGGAGTGGCATGGGTGTCAGAGGCAGGCTCTGGCTAGGAGGCGCTTACCTAAGCATCTCCTGGCCAGCACCCCCAAGCCAGGCTGGGATCCCTGCCTGCTGCAACCCCAGATCACTCAGGGTACATCTCAACTACATCCCTCTTTTGAGAGAGGGATGTAAATTAGAGATATCGAAATTGCAAATGAAGCCAGGATTTGACTTTCCTGTGCTTCATTTGCATAATCGCATCACGGCGTTTTTTCGAAAAATGCTATTTTGAAAGTGAAACCGCAGTCTAGATGCAGTTCTTTTGAAAAGAAAAGCCTTTTTTGAAAGATCCTGTAAACTTCATTTTTCTGAAAAAACGCTGTGACACGATTATGCAAATGGAATGCAGGAAATTCAAATCCTGGCTTCATTTGCAATTTCGATATGTCTGATTTTCATCCCTCTTTCAAAAGAGGGATGTAGTCTAGACATAGCCTTAGAGCCGCAGGCTGTTCCCTCTGTGGCTCTCAGCTCCTGAAGGGGGAAGAGTCTTGTGCTGCCCCCATCACCCAGGCCAATCTCTCAGCTCCTATTAGCTGATTGTTTCCAAACAATAAGAGCTAAGAGATTGGCTGGGGTCAGTTCCTATTGGCTAGCTGTTTCTGGCCAGAAGGAGCTGAAGACTGAGCTAGCGCATGGAGATCACACACAGCCTCCTCCTTTTTCCAGAGCAGAGAGCTGCTGCACTGTGCTTTAAACCCACCATGTATCTGAGGGTCCCAGCAGGTGGTCTGTGGGCCGGATCCAGCCCCCGGCCATATTTTACCCAGCCCTACTTTAGAAGATAGTACTACTGGAGGAGAGAGAAAGCATTGTAGGTAAGTTTGTGTACATGTGCAAAGTGAAAGTGGGATGACTGTAGTGACACGTGCAACCCTGTGATATTCAGGAAAACTATTTGAAAGGCAGGTGGGAAGTTGATTTTGTTCGGAAGGTTGTGCTCTCTGCGATTCTGATCCCTTTTTGAATATCTGCATTAATTCAAGAAATTGATTAGTCAGTGCTTTCTTTCATTTTTAGTTTCCCGTTCACTGTGATAAAATTATTTCTTCTGTTCACTAGCCCCTTGAGAGTAAGGATACATACAAATATTAATTAAAATATGTTTTTAGGTTTACCTTTGATTTTTACACAGTGCTAATATTCCTGTTAGAATGCTTTTTTTCATCCAACCATTCTCTTCTCTCCTAAGGCGAACAAATGCACGTAAGCATGCATTGTACATGGAAAAAGAGAGAGCTGCCAAAATTGCAAGCCTACCACCACCTCCACCTCATCCTTTTGAGGTGAGCATCCAATATGCAGGGATGGCAATAATTTCAGAGTAAAATATAAGCATTACTGTGGCTTTAGACTGTCTCCTGGAAGCATAACATCTGAATTCACTATTTGCACGTTGTAAGTTGCAGCAGTGCACCAAAGACTATTCAGAGGGGAAATTAAAGAATTAATTTAATGTACAAACATATTCCTTGTCTCTAGGTTTTCTTTTTTAATTTGTTTTTAGGTGATGTGGTTTTCTTAATTAATGAGCTCTGTCAATCTTTACTACTACTAAGACAATATAAGTCAGAGTTTTAATGCTCTTCTTTCAAATTCATACACCGTCCCAGTGGGGTACTTTATTTTGAGCCTATAACTCAGAGCTTGAGGAGTCTGTTAGATTTTTTTTTTCAGCGGTTTTCTTATTTTCTGTGTTAAATTTGTGAAATGTAGAGTACAGAATATATGCTAGTACCATTCATTCTGTTAAAACTGGTGCTTTAGACAAGTGAGTAAAAACTAGAACCCTAATCTTACAGCAGGAGTGGACAATAATTTGTGACCAGAAATTTTTGAAGTGGCCCTGGGCCTCCCCAGAAGGGGTGGAGCTTTGGGCAGAAGGGGCAGGGCCAGGATACTTCCGTGCTTCCCCACCCATGGACCCTGATTGGGGAGTATGCTAAGTCTACCCCTGAGCCCTTGGTGGTGGGAGGACACTTCGTGGAGCTGTGGGGAGGTAAAAGATAGGATTACAAGGGCAACACTTATAATGCAATATATGTTGGCTATCTTGCTGTTCAAATTGCTGGGCTGTGCCAAAATGGAGAACCATGGATTGAGGCGCAAAGAAAATCTAAAAAGATATAGAGATGGGTATAGAGGACTGGAGAAATCCTATGTAGAGGTGGCATGGCATCTGACTTCCTGGTTTTGGAATGGGGAACTCTGAAGGAGACATGAGTTAGATGCATATGGAGCAGACAGTACATTTGTGGGGCAAGAGTGGCGCTGAGGCGTAAAAAGGACCCCAAGAGCAGAGTTATAGGGTATATATGGATGAGATATGAGTTGAATGTGTTGAAGTTTTCAATGGGGATAAAGGCCAGTCTTTACCTCTGCTGCATTTGTTTGTCATATCTTAGAAGCATGACTCCCATCCTCTTACATAACATCTATGGGACACTAACATCTGCAGGAGGGAAATCTTGCTTTGGTGGGCTGATGCCACTTTCTTCACGTTATACACCAATCCATTACCAAACTAAGTGATTGGGCAACAAAATGGCAAATGATAATTAATGTTGATAAATGTAAAGTAATGCACATTGGAAACAACAATTCCAATTATACATACAATATAATGGGGACTAATTGAGCTACAACTACTCGAGAGAGATCTTGGAATCATTGTGGATAGTTCTCTGAAAACATCCACTCAATGTTCAGCAGCAGACAAAAAAAGCAAATAGACTGTTAGAAATAATAAAAAATGGGACAGAGAATAAGACAGAATATCTTATTGCCTCTACATAAAACCATGGTATGCCCACATCTTGAATACTGCAAACAGATGTGGTCACCTCATCTCAAAAAAGATATATTGGCATTGGAAAAGGTTCAAAAAAGGGTAACAAAAGTGATTGGGGTTTGGAACGGGTCCTATATGAAGAGAGCTTAAAAAGACTTGGACTTTTCAGCTTAGAAAGAAGGGATATGATAGGGTCTATAAAATCACGACTGTTTTGGAAAAAGTGACTAAGGAAAAGTTATTTACTTATTCTCATAATATAAGAACTAAGGGTGAGCAAATGAAATTAATAGGCTGCAGATTTAAAACAAAGTTTTCACACAGCACATAGTCAACCTGTGGAACTGCTCTCCAGAGGATATTGTAAAGACTAGGACTTTAATGCACTTCAGAAAAGTGCTAGATAAATTCATAGAGGTTAGGTCCATCAATGGCTATTGGCTAGGGACACCATTCCTCCCCATCCTAGCCTCTGTTTGCCTGGAAATGGATGACAGGAGAGGGATCACATGATGATTACCTGTTGTGATCCCATCCTCTGGGGCATCTGGTATTGGCCACTGACAGCAGACAGGATAGTGGACTAGATGGACCTTTGGTTTGACCCACTATGGCCGTTCTTAAGTTATATGCAGGACTTGACAGTCTGTTGAATCTACTCGCCTTTGGCAAGTAGATTTCAGCCCGGCACCTCGTTTACCGGCGGCATGTGCATGCTCAATGCAGCTCTTGCGCATGTGCAGTGTGGGGCTGGCGAGTGGCTTTTGCCGTGGTTCGTCAAGCCCTGGTTACATGTATGTTCATTAGGCACTTGTTTTAAAAAGCTCAGAGAAGTTCTGAAACAAAGTTTGAAGATTTGTTTCAGTAAAGTCTTGCTAACACAGCGCTCCTCCTCCACCACCACTTTGCACATATTTTGCAGGAGCAGCATAGACATTTGCTAATATAAGTAATGTCTCTTCTTGAACAGAACTTCTAGAACTTCTGCTACCATCAAAAGATATTTTGCCATTTTTAAAGAGTGTGGTTGAGATTTTACTTTTTGCTCTTTGTTGAAGGTATGGTTGTCCATCATTTTGGCAGCTGCTGTAAATCGGGTCTCTGTTGGTACATAAAAACAAAACACTTTTTAAGGTAACACTATTGAAAATTGGAGCCGTACCTTAAGATTAATGACATTTGGTGAGGAGTTTGCTCTCAGTCACTAAGCCCTCCTGTTATGCCTCTTGTTGAATGTGGTTTGTTAGTTAATAATAAAAGTTGGGAGATCTCTGCAAATTGTTTATTTATGCTCCATTTAACTCAATGGAAAACAGTGCTACTGTAAAGTAACTGGTTATTTGTACTTTCTGCTTTTTAGGACTTTGAAGTGAAAAGAATGCCTACAGTAAAAGTCTATAATGCTGACAGTTTTTCTGTTACTCATCACCATCTTTTTGAACCTTATGTGGATAGAGAAATGGACACAACACAGGTGACTGATGTCAAATATGTCTATGGTATACACTTGCCTATAGCAGTTTCGTTGCATTGTATCTATGGATTTGAAATCGGCAGCAACGGATATTAGTTTCACAAAAATCTAAGTTTAAAAAAATCTAAGAATTAGTATAGCATAATTAAAAGAAAGACATGCATACTAATTATGTGTTTGTATTCAGGCTCCAATTCTGCAAATACTTACTCACTTGAATAGCCTATTATGTTTGGTAGGACTACTTGCTTATCTAAAATTACCCAGGATTGTTAAATGTATGAAGGATAATGTCCTGAAGACTAAGAGCAGATTCATCAGAGTTTGTTTCATGTGTGAAACTTATTCCTCCATTTGTTGCTAATGTTCCTCCATTTGTTGCTACCTATGTATCCTTGTTTATGGGCCACGAGTAGTCATATACAGGCAGTCCCCGAGTTACATAAGTCGGATCCGCACTTACGAACGGGGTTTTTCTCGCCCCGGAACTCGCGGGCGGCGGGACCACCCAGACGCGCAATGGTACCGCCACCGCGTCCTCCGGGGCAAGAAAAGCTGCTCCGGGTGTCCCTGGTCTGCTGGGGGGGTCCCCCAGCAGACCAGGGACACCCCGAACAAAGCCTTGGAGGCGGCGGGGTCCCGCGCCTCCGTGGCTTTGCTCCGGGTCTCCCTGGTCTGCTGGGGGGGGGGGGGGCGGCTAGCGCCCCCCCCCCCC